AGTTGTGTTTCTACAAAAAGATGCTGAGAATACCATAGAGGGGTCATGTGAGTAACGAAGAAGCTTTAAGGATTACTAGAAACAAAGAAGGTGCTTATAATTGAAATCAGAAATAATTTAAATTTCTAAAATACATAACGAGGAAGGAAGTCTATGAGAATTTGACGCACACATACTGAAGGCATGGGGAACAACTAGTAACCTACCTAACGAGTTTTATAGGAAATGATTGATTTGTTTGACGACATATCAACATTCTTATGGGTCATTTAATGCGAAAATTTAATTTTCTTGGGATCATTGATTCGATTTGATTGTTTAGCGGCATATCAACTCCTTATGGGTCATTTAATGCCAAAATCTAATTTTGGGGGGATTTTTGATTCGATTTGATTGTTTAGCGGCATATCAACTCCTTATGGGTCATTTAATGCCAAAATCTAATTTGGGGGGATTTTTGATTCGATTTGATTGTTTATCGGCATATCAACTCCTTATGGGTCATTTAATGCCAAAATCTAATTTTTTGGGGGGGGGATTTTTGATTCGATTTGGTTGTTTAGCGACATATCAACTCCTTATGAGTCATTTAATGCCAAAATCTAATTTTGGGGGGATTTTTGATTCGATTTGATTGTTTATCGGCATATCAACTCCTTATGGGTCATTTAATGCTGAATCTTGTGTTGACGCATGATAAAAAAAATTCTATAACCAGAATCCATAATTATTTAATTGTGGACAGTATGTTATTTAATTCAATATTCAGGAAGTATTAAACATAAAATATTAAAGATAATATTTTTATGTTATAAATTCATCCAAACAGAAAATTTACTTGCACATTGGCGTCATTTTCTAATGTCGCGGAGAAGCTAATTATATACAATCAAATTTGACACATGTTCAGAAATGTTGCTGAGTGACCTCTACGAGAAATTTTCATTCCCACCCACCACTTATTTTTCAACTAGTGATTTCATAAAAGACTTTAATATGCATTGGCATAATTCTTTTATTTGCTGATCATAATACAAACGTGAAGATATTGTCTCATTTTATCGTTTTAATAAAAGAAAACACAAGTGGGTATTATTGATAGAAACGTCACAAACCTGTCGTTCTCAATCACGGCACCCTTAGGACGTTTTCAGGATACACGAAATGCGTTGTCGATGAGCCTAAATTACACTGAGTGCAATCTGAGAATAGAATTCACTTACCTCCACATACGAAGAAAACGGGACGACTTTCCAGGTAAATGTAGACCTAAATCTAAAGACAAATATAAAGCCAACAAATGTTTACCTACCGACACAAGTATAAAGAAAACTACTGTTCGCTGTCAGACCCAAGTTTAAAAACGATAAAGACAAGAGGATCATCTTCCAAATTAACGCTTATAGACACAAGTCTAAAGCCGATGAATTTTTGCCTATCTACCAAGTTTAAAGCCAAGAATTGTTGGCCGACTGACCCAAGCATAATACCAACCAATGTTTGCCTACCGACCCGAGAATAAAGCAAACCTATGTTTGCCTACCGACCCAAGAATAAAGCAAACCTATGTTTGCCTTCCGACCCAAGAATAAAGCAAACCAATTTTTGCCTATCGACTAAGACTAAAGCCGATCAATTTTTGCCTATCGATCAAAGTCTAAAGCCAAGAATTGTTGGCCGACTGACCCAAGTATAATACCAATGTTTGCCTACCGACCCAAGAATAAAGCAAACCTATGTTTGCCTACCGACCCAAGAATAAAGCAAACCTATGTTTGCCTACCGACCCAAGAATAAAGCAAACCTATGTGTGCCTACCGACCCAAGTCTAAAGCCGATCAATTTTTGCCTATCGACTAAGACTAAAGCCGATCAATTTTTGCCTATCGATCAAAGTCTAAAGCCAAGAATTGTTGGCCGACTGACCCAAGTATAATACCAATGTTTGCCTACCGACACAAGAATAAAGCAAACCAATATTTGCCTACCGACCCAAGGATGAATAAAGCAAGCCAACAATTCATAGTAATAAAAATTACAGAGTTTAGGCGAAGACGTTGCATATAAGAAAATAGAGATAAAAAAAAGTACAAGGTACAACGTTGCATATAAGAAAATCGAAAAGAGGAACAAGGAAAAATAAAAGGTAAAAATTAAGAACAATAAGATGACGATGAGGTTGCAAGGTGAAAGATTACACTTTAAATATGTGTACTCTGGTATGAAGCTTAGGAAACTCTCACTGAATTATTAACTATTTAGTTTTAACTTCGTATTTTATATTTTATATTTTAGTTTTAACTTCGTATAACCATTTATAGCTCTGATCAACTAAAATTCGAGCGGAAAATTAATTAACTTCAATTAATTCGAGAATTCTGAAGCAAACTATTTTATTTCTTATGTAAATTTAATATTTTTCTCTATATTTTCTTTGGTTTTCTGTTCTTGGACATATGCATTGTATTTTCTTGAAGCGACATAGGAAGAAAAAACAAACCTTGAGGGATAAAAAGATGCAAAATGAAAATTCTGCTGTTGATAAGACAAAGAAGAAGAAAAAAAAAAGTCAAAAGAACCAGAAAAAATATGAATGGTGTCACCAGGCTCAGTACCAAGGTCGCCTTGGTACGTTCGCTCGTTGTCTACGGAGAGTTGATATCTCCCTGGCCCCAGGGGACATGATCAAGAATGCGATAAAGAGGTGTAATTAGCTCGACACCAAAATTCACTCTTGAAAACAATTTCAATGGAGAAAAGAGGCGGCGGTTTAAGAAGTCATTGTGATGACGATGGTAACAGGAAGAGTTGAACTAACTTTCGAGCCGGCGGATGTTTTTTTTTTGAGGGGGGATCTTATTTTCTTAAGCTATTATTTAAACAAGAACATAAAAAGAAATTACACGTGATCATAACGAGGCTATATCTACACTTCGTGGGTATCGCGGATTTTCTTTTTAATTCGACAGTTCATCAAAGGAATAATAAAACCTGTTTTGAAAACATTATTAAAACTATCAAAGATGCCAGATACTTTCTAAGCTTGCCTTAGTCTGGCAAAACGTCAAAATAAGGGTGCATTGAACACTGGTCCATGGCGAGCCGAGTCCACAAGTGACTGATTATTCAGAAATTAAGAATTTTAAATCTATTACGACGCCTTATACTACTAGGCCGAAGAAACAATACAGTGCGAAAAAAATAAATCATAAAACAATGCGAATTCTTTTTCACTGACATGAAGTTGAAAGATTATATTGAATCAATTGATACGCCTGCTGCTAGGAAAGTTGGTTCACTGTGTCCAACCAGACAATTTTTCTCTCCAAAATCTATCTTACGTATTTATAAGTCTAGCATTCATCCATTCTTCGAATATTGCTGCCATATATGGTCTGGTGCTCCTGCTATATACTTAGAGATTATTCATAAAATCCAAAAAAGAATCTGCAATGTTATTGGTCTTGACCTGTCATCCTAATCATTTTACTACCGCCGTAATCTATTTTCCATGTACCTTTTCTATAAATATTTTCATGACAATTGTTCTGATGAACTTTTCTCTACGGTAGCTATACTTTATGAATTTTAAGCGCATTGCTAGATTGGCAACAAGGTCTCATTTTATATTTGAATTGGCTAGATGCAACCGTAAGTTCTTTGCTTGCAGTTTCTTTTCACGCACTTCTCGTCTTTGGAACCCACTTCCGGTTTCTTATTTTCCAGTTAATTTTGATCTTCAAAAATTTAAATGCAATGTCAAACATTATCTATTGTCTTCTTAATTCCTCTTTTATTCCTCGCTCCTTAAAGTTTTACTTTTTCTTTCACGTTCAGTAACCTCTTGTGCCTTAGTGGCTTTATTGCCTTGTTTCGGGTGAAATGATTAAAAAAAAATGTCATGTCCTTTCTGGTTCCACACAACTTTCTATTTTTTGTAGCTCTAAGTAATGTTTGTCTCTTACTATTCTTCGCAGTCCTTGTTCTGTCAACAATTCACACAAGCCCGTTAGATACATTACTCGCCGTTTCCCTTCTGTCCTTCCTTCTTTCAGTATATCCTGTGAGTGTTAAATTTTCCGAGCCGTCCTTCCTCATTATATGTCCCAGAAATTTCAACTGTCTCTTATTAATTTTAAGTTCCAATCCTTCAAGTTCCAATTTTCTTGAAACCTTCCCCATTGCTCACATATTCCGTCCATGGTCTTTTTTACAGTAAGGTTCACCCTGTACAAGACCCGGGGCTACTCGAGGTAGAGGGTTACGTTAAGGGGTAGTTTATATCAATAGGAGGGGAAGGTAACGGCTACCTCTACACTTGAATGGGTTAAGATTGTAGTGATCGGAGAAACATCCTCTTGGGTGTCTGTTCCACAGGGCAGTGGTTCGGGGGAAGAAGCTGCACGAGGGGAAACTTACTTCTCACCGATGGAATACGGGGGGAATGTGGGTGTTTTGCTACTATGTAAGTGGCATGGCGGGTCCTAATTGGGAAGGTTAGATCTGGCGGAACGAAGGAATGTAGTTTTTCAGATCACTTTACCCCTATATCAAATAGAAATGCAATAAAGAAACACAGACAATTGTTGTCATAATAAAAAGCAGTAACATTATAAAGTCATCTTCACACTGTTAGTTACTCAGAGCCAAAGTGAGAGGACATTTTCAAAGCTAAAGATCATAAAGACAAGGTTAAGAAATTCTCTGAGGAGTATTTGGAATCATATATGTTGCTATCCATTGAAAAGAAATTGTTCGATAAATTGGATGCAGAAGCAATTATTGGCAGATTCTAGCAATCATCTAGTGAACACAAACAATTATCCTTAATAAGTGGTATGCATGCAATGCTCTATTGTTCTTTTGAACTGTTATTAAATAAATTGCACGGCAAACCATTTAAAAATATCAACCAATTACTTAAAATTTTAAAAATAAAAATTTCAGTTATCACATTCAATATTTACATTTGGTATCTACTACCAGTAATATGTACAGGCTTATGACCATAACACATTGAAAACACTGGTTCTCACACGATCACCAAAGATAAGCAACATTGTGCCTGGCCAATAACTAAATGGGTGACCACTTGAGAATACCAGGTGCTGTAAGCTAGGATGTGTAGATGGTATAAAGTATAACGGCCTAGAATTGAAAATCAAGCAGAGTTTCAATTCCAGTTTGTTCGTTATATTCACTTATGCTTGGGAAATTTATAAATCCACCTCCCCCACCCCAGTTATGAATTAGTAGAAATTGTATCAGTAAATCATTAATACCTTCCAAAAATTCTTACAATAAACAAATTTTTCAGACTTTTTCAGGAATGAAAACACTTTTTGTTGACAACATATTATGTAAGTTATGTTAGCCAATCCAAATATTGGATTCTAAAGTTATATAAGAAAAAATAATTCAATAAAAAATTTAATTAATAATTAAATATATATTAATTAAAGAAAGAACATTCTAAAGTGTTGTGACAAACCAATTAGGCTACGCGACTGACTGGTTATAATTCCTTAAATAGAAAAGCAAATTATATCATGCACACCTGTTAAGCTTAAAATATTTTTTCACAAGTAGAAATTTTTGACAAGCAAGAAAAAAAATCTTTGTCACAATTCTCAATTCTTTGAGTTCCATGTAAAGAGCTGTACTCTTTTAAAATGGCAAGAGATTCAGAATAAATTTAACAGATTTAGTTGAGACTATCCCCAGAAACTTGTAAAGAAATATAACAACTTGACTTTTAATAGGTTGAACAAATTTAAAGTATAAATCATTTTATTAGCAGTGAGTCTTGCTAAGGTATCACTTCACTTAGAACCTCGAAACTATTGTCTGTTAGTCTGTCTGAACTGATATACAGGGTGTCCCCAAAATCTGGACACCCTAGGCAAAATGTATATTTTCAAGAAATGGGTCATTAAAACATTAAAAGATACTGACAACTAATTCATAATTTCTCAGACCAATCTTAATTGTTTTATGACACTTCATGCAGAACCCTTCACTGCCAGTTCAAGAAAAGACATTCGGATTACTAACACAAAAAAAGAATGTCTCATATTGAGAATATTTAACATCGAAAAACATAAAGGAGAAAAAAATGAATTATTTTTAATAATATATGGAAATCACCACCCTTTACCTGATGACGGTCGCGAGACCAGAAACACGTGTAGTAAAATTATGGAAAATAAAGCATATTTTTTTTAAAAAATCCACAATATAATCAAAAACGTTTGCAGTATCTCTCTTCTTCTTAATATATATATATATATATATATATAGTGATAATTTTAGTGGTATATATATATATATATATATATAGTGATAATTTTAGTGGTATATATATATATATATGATAATTTTAATTTAATATATATATATATATAGTGATAATTTTAGTGGTATATATATATATATATATATATATATATATATATATATATATATATATTTATATATATATATATATATATATATATATATATATATATATAGTATATTTATATATATATATATATATATATATAGTGATAATTTTAGTGGTATATATATATATATATATATATAATTTTAGTGGTATATATATATATATATATATATATATATATATATATATAGTGATAATTTTAGTGGTATATATATATATATATATATATATATATATATATATATATATATAGTGATAATTTTAGTGGTATATATATATATATATATATATATATATATAGTGATAATTTTAGTGGTATATATATATATATATAAAATAAATTCCCAAGAGGATAGAATCCAGGTAGAACTCAATGTCCAGGACAGAGTAAAAATATAATATAAAAGGCTCAAACACTAATATTCCATGGTTATAATTGATTACATTGAAATCATAATCACAATCCAATTCATCAGACCTACAAATTTAAAAAAAAGAGATTGGAAAATATAACTCCAGGTATAAAAAAACAAAATTTTAGTGAGAGTGTATGTGTGGGAGTGGGAAACAAGTGTGAGATGGAAATGTATGAAAGCTCTAGAGAGAGGTGTCATAGAAGAAAGAAGAGGAAGGCCTAAAGGTGAAGGTGGGGATTAAAATTTAACAGAGAGAAGTTTTAAAGACAGGAGTTAAATATACAGATACAAATAAATATGAATTATTTTCAGATGCATAAATCGCTACTGATTCGCTGACCTAAAATTAAAAATTACGATTCCAATGTAATAAATTATAACCATGGAATATTAGTGTTTGAGCCTTATATATATATATATATATTACCAGTAATATATTTTTGAAAAAAAAAAAAAAAAAATTATGCATATATATATATATATATATACTACTGATAATACATTTTGGAAAAAAAATAAATATACATTTTTTTTTTTCAAAAATGTATTACCGGTCAAAATTTTTTTTCTTTTTTCAAAAACATATTACCGTAATACATATATAATTTTCTCAAAAACCTATTACTAGTGATATATATATATATATATATATATATATATATATATATATACACACATATACATTAATACTAATACATTTTTTAAATATTACTCAAAAATCTCTTTACCAGAGACTTTGATGTCAGATGTAATTTATCGTCATACCGAGAATGCAGATGTAGTTTATCATCATACCCATGACAGGAATAAATAAACTTTTCAAGCCTATCTCAACAAACACTGAGAAGTACTGAATTTTAAAAAAAAAAAAAAAAAAAAAAAAAAAAAAAAAAAAAAAGAAAGTGCAAAGACATCATGTTGCATCTGCTAAAGCAAAAAATGTCTAGAATAGCATGGAAATTCAAGATGTGCTACAAACTACCTTGCATAGAAGTCTACTTCTATGAGGTAGTTAAAATAATATTAGCTCAAGCTCCAGGGTCCCCCCCCCGGCAATAAGTCTCCTTTGGGAAAGGGCTGGATTATTACCTGGCACCTGAGTCCATCCCCAAAAGGAGAACTGCCAAGGGGGAGTTGAGCAATTTTTCCATGGTATTGCCGGTTAACCCACTTTAAACATCGACCTTGTGTCACATTCGGTAGCGACGTGGGCACATTGATAAATACCTACCTTGTACACAGTCTAACCAGAAATTGATAAGAGGTACAAGTCCTGTCAAGCTTCTTTACTAAGCAAGGGTACAGCAACTCTGGTCTTGTTTGTCCCTTGCAAAATATGGTAGTTACCATATGACTGGGGAAAATTCAATCACAGGATTCCTCTCAGGAATTAACCATTTTTGCATTAATTATTTTAAGAAAAATATTTCATTTTCAGACAATCTTTTTTATTTGTTTTAATATAGTGACTAAGAAACTGAGGCACCTTGAAGTACCTGAGCATTAATGTTATTTACACTTGGAGAATTAACCTCAATAAACATTTGGAGAATTAACCTCAATAAACGCTTGGAGAATTAACCTCAATAAACATTTATTAAAATCAATAAAAGATTAGAAATATAAGATCATGAAAAAGCTAGTTAAAAATATGTAAGACGTTAGAAAAATTTCAAAGTTTTGAACTTTGCATGCTCACAATTATCTCGCTTGACACAGCAGGTTTATCTGCATGGTTGAAGCTTCAAACTCGTCCTCATTTTGTTATCTCGACTCATTTCAACTTTAACTGCTTCCCGGGGTGGTAGCACCTGTTAGCATCCCAGCTCTGGGCAAATAGTGTACCACCAAACTGGGGTCAAAACACTATGAAAGTATAAAAATAGATTTTTATCATAAAAATACCAGCAATAGATATTTGAGAAAAAAAAATATTACTAGCAATATATATTTGAGAAAAAAAATATTATTAGCAATATATATTTGAGAAAAAAAATATTACTAACAATATATATTTGAGAAAAAAAATATTACTAACAATATATATTTGAGAAAAAAAATATTACTAACAATATATATTTGAGAAAAAAAATATTACTAACAATATATATTTGAAAAAAAAAACATTACTAGCAATATATATTTGAGAAAAAAACATTACTAACAATATATATTTGAAAAAAAAAACATTACTAACAATATATATTTGAAAAAAAAAACATTACTAACAATATATATTTGAAAAAAAAATCATTACTAGCAATACATTTTTGAAAAAAAAAATATTACTCGCAATACATTTGACTCAACAACAACCCTCTTTATAAAAATACATCAATAAAACCTAATCTACAACTAATTTCTTACAAAGGATGCATATTCTATTCATACAAACCTATCCTAAAAATCTTTTCCATATTAAATAACCCATCAATGTTGATATGCCGTAAAGCAAAATAAACCAAGCAATTTGCTTAGTTAGGGATGGTAGCTACAAAAAGATGAAGAAAGATCCAAATCTGGAAACTGTCACAGATCAAACAGGAAGAAGGAATAGTTCACAATGAAGCCATACAGGAAGTTTATGCAGGCCTACCACACATATACAGCTTTAATCAAATTGACAAAGACATTATTCTATTCATTTGTCAGGACTCAACTTGTCACTCACTAAGCATATTCCGTTTATATATAATATCCCACTAACACATAAGTCTGTGTTTTATGTAAAAAAAACAAAAAAAACTGTAGGGATTATCAAAGATGCTCCCATTTATACCAACTGGATAGTGAGTTTATTCACTCAGGTTCTCAACTCTGAGGCTCTGTCAGTGGTTCAAATCTTGATTTCTTCTCTCTCTAGGAAATGACTATAGAAACACCACAAGTAAATTTAACCATATGACTTAGATAAGACTTGGCTCCACTAGGAAAACTATGTTCAAAATATCCCTATATTGTAAACCAACATTAATCAGACAATACCTGAATTCCAATTACTCCCATCCATAGAAAGGGGATTGTCTGCTGCCAAAAACCAGACAATCTCCTAAGTAGTGATATATCAACAGATACTAACAGGAGGAAATAAGCATTAAATAATAACCTTCATAGCAACTAATCTGCAAATATAATATCAGCTTTCACAAGCAGAATCATAAGAGTAGAAGATGGCAAACGAAAATCAGACAGTCTCTCTACCATATATAAGGTGGAGATCTGAAAAGGTTAAAATGAGATACAGTCCACATGAT